TAATTCATGCATAATTTTGTGCCATGCGCGAGCGAGGGAATGTGCACATCTTAGCGCTAAGTCAATTTCAATGATGATTGTAAAAAAGAAGAAATGGATAAAATTGCAATTTATAAATTGTTTAAATTGTGTTTCCTCCAAGGAATATAAGGAATATGAGGAATATAAGGAATATAAGGAATAACAGATTGTTAAGTGCATATTGTATTATTGATTATACAAATGATATTTAACAATATTGCAGTGATATAGCATCTTCGATATGCAACCATCTTAGAGAATACACAGATTTGTATAAATTGTGACAAGATACAATAGTCAGAAACAGGAGAATCGTTCTTGGCCAAATAGATATTGCGTCGCTTTTCGACACGAATCCAACACCGACCCTCTTTTAGGAGGGCTCTTATACTGACGAGTTGAATTCGTTACGATGTTACGCGACTCTTCGATCGAGAGGGAGAGTTCCGCTCTTGTCTGACACTTTTTCGTGACTATAGGTGAATCAAATTGTCGCTGTACTAAAGGCGGGAAGAAAAGAGATGGGTCTGATTCGATCTTCCGCGTGGAGGACTCGTATGGCCGTGTTGTTGCATACGAAAGAGGGAGAGAAGGGTAGCAGGTCGAAGGGGGTTAAATCGATGGTAAAATCTTGCTTTCTCTCTTCGTGGACGTGGAAGAGAAATGAGAGGCTGCTCTTGACGATTTGCCTCTTGCAACTGAGAGAACATCCGAAACTTGAAATCGGTCTCCGGCCGCCCTCCTCGCAAATTCGCCAGGTAATTCGATTATATCCGCGCAGCTCGTCCTGCGAGAGAGTCGCGATCGATAATACCCGCGTTTCGCGTCGGATCCTGCCGGTATCCGGTTCTCGGCAGTCGCAAGGTATCAGTTTTCGTTGCGCGTATTTTGACTTCGGAGAAGAGAAGAGAAAAGACAAACGGTTAATTCGCGAGCAAAGCTCTAGTCATAAATATCAATGCATCTTTCGTAATCATTCACGATAAATTGGACATAATATGATAAGCATATTATTTTCCGCAACATGATATGTGCAATGATTCATTAATGAGTGAAAATATGCGTTGAATATTATAGACAATTTAGAAAACATCTAAGACCTTTGATGTCATATAAATTTCATACAAATGAAGAGCTTTTGATTTTATACAAAGTTCATAGAAATTCTATTTATTTTTTAGTTTTTTAAATTATAATTTGAAATTATTCAAATTTTTGAAATTATTTGTTTGCATAATGCTTCAATTATACAAAAATGATCGATTGATTAAGGCTTCAGATATATACCAGTGTTGAACGTATACAGTTTATGTCACGTATACTATAGATTTTCAGTATTGGCAATGTATATTCGAACATGGTCTACTAAGTTTTAGAAATAAAGTAGTAGCAGAGAATCGAATTTATATATATGTTCGATCACAAAGGATGCCGCAAGAAAAAGATTTTATAAATAGATATGCCTTACGGTAGTGGTCTCTCGCTATCATTAAAATGGCTATCATTAAAATATATTCCATCTAGGTGGCGTTACATGGAAATGCGTTTTATCGGTAACGGTGATACTCCGGAACAGATAATCCAATTAAAAGTTACATGTACACGAAGACAGACTCGTTATTCTCGTATTGTGAGTAAAGGCGGCTTTAAATGACATGGCTAATGTACGCCAATATTAGCAAATATTGTACATTCACATCATGACATGCATAATTATCCATATAAATGTAGGTCAATATTTAACGAATATATGTAAAATTGGCATATATTAGCCATGTCTTTGAAGCGCGATTGGTTTCTATTCTGGGACCACATTCTCGAAAAGTATCGCATACAAAAATGTACGAAAATATAGTATACGTTACGTTATGTTATGGATTTCTCTAGTATTTTTGTACACGATATTTTTCGAGAACAAAGCGGTAATTGATACGCGAGATTGTCTAACTATCAAACTTGCTCTGACACAATCGCGATAAAAAAGCATATGTATGTGTAGTTGTAAAACATTAAGTAAACGAATATATGTCCTTTGTGTAAATTCGAGCTTTCAAGCTTCCTCGCTTTATCAAACGATTGAAGCAAATAAAATGATTGATCGTATCGGTAATGAGAACTGTGAAAGAAAATACAAAAAAAAAGTTCCATCAACAATTTAAATTTTACAATTAAAATCTATACTCAAAAGTAGATTCTAAAGTAAAAAGATCACAGTTATCATAATTATTTATATATTTCTATAGTTACTAATATGTATTGATTTCGCGAAAATTGACGTAGTATGTTAATTAATTTCGGAACGTACGTTTGACATCATTTTGATATTCTCTCCGATATTCTCTCGAAATTACAAATCGCAATAATAGGCGACAAGTAAACGGATCAAACCGCGTTGTTGCTTATTCTCTTGCGTCTAAAAGTCCGGGGGCGTGTAGATAGCGTGCGACGTACCTGAGAGAGTAATCACGCATAGTACCTACCTACCTGGCTGCTAGCATAGCCGATCGATTACCGTACAGCCGCGCGGTGCACACGCCTGCCTGCCGCCACGTACCGCAACTACGTGACAAATATTATCGCGATCGACCGACCCGCTGCGTTTGATGTGGACGCGTTTATGAAATGCCGACACGCCGATAATCATGCGCGCGACCAGTGCCCAAGGCTAAATCCGATTTGTAATATTAATCTCACAATCAGCGCTGCGCCTCGCTCTCTTTCTCTCCTTTTTCCTCCCACATTTTCTCTCACTCTTGCCCTCCCCCATCTCTATCTATCTATCTATCAATCTATCTCTCTAAAACTTAGCTATTACTTGTTTTGTATCATTCATCTATGATATCTATACTTGTACTTTATATTTTATTTTTTATTTTTCATATTTCAAAAAATTCATTGTATTTGTATACATGATTTCCATTTTTTTTTTGTAATTTTCTTTCATTTTTATAAATTCTCTCTTTATATTATCTTTGCTTTAATTTGTTCTGAAAAGGCAGAGTTTTAGAAAATAATAAATGCTCTTTCTCTCTCTCTCTCTCTCTCTGATATTTTTTAACTCAATTATTTCATAATTACTTATTATGTATCAAGATTTTTTAATTTTTTCTCTACTTTTGTTACATTTCTATATTTAGCATTATTTTCTTATCATAATTCTATGTATATCAAGTATTTTAATCTTTATTTTATTCACTCTTATTCATTTATTTTCTTTTGTTTTGCTCTAAACTACTTTTGCTGCATCTAATCTTCAAGCTGTTACAATTGTATGTATTATACCTTGAAGAATCATAGTCTCAGAGCGTAAAATAAATAAATTTAAAAAAAATTAATTCTTTCTCTCTCTCTCTCTCTCTCTCTCTTTCCGATGTAGTTTTTAACTGAGAAATATTCGGATTTTATGAAATTTTTATCTATTATATTTTACATAATAATATTATATTTTTTATTTTATTCATTTCGACAAACGAATATTGAGTATATATTTTTAAGCTGCATTTGATGTTAATAAAATGAATAAGTGGATAATTCAACACATGTTAACAATACTACACATTACATGTATACGCGTACAAGTATTCAAGATACAAAGTTTATTTTCGCTTTGTCTGTATAAAATTAGTCACGCGGATGCGATGGTAGACGGGAAATGGGTTTGATTAATCGTGAGTATAATTCACCGGAAGCGTTGTTTTTCCGATTGGGATCGTTCTGATTACAGTGCCATGGGGATCGGATGTCAACGATCTACGTTTAGCGCACGCGATAAACAACCTGAACAAACACTAGTGAAAAGGCCGCGCTTTTAACTCTGGAGCGCAGAAACAAATCTGCGTCTCTTTGTGGACTAACTTGTTTCGCGCGAGCTGTGGCAGAAGCGTTCTCCAAACACGTCGGGCGCCATTATGCGGCCAAATGGATCGGTATATTTAGTTGACTTTGGCCCGTATTCAGATCTCGCGCTCCCAAGATCTTCAGCAGCTGGTTGTCGTTGATGTACATATGGCTTCTTAGATTTACGCTGGGACATTTAGTATGTGCTCGCTAATTGTCACGGTCGCGACTGTATATTTCTTCAGACTCACCAATTGTAACATTAACAGACATTACATCGTTGTTTCTGCAATCTTTGATCGTTGCCCAACATAGAGTGCTTTCCATTTGATGACACAAGTCAACACAAGCATCATTCTATCTTTCATGACATTCAGTGAATAACAAAGATAGAACGATCGACCCTTGTGCCGACTTATGTTATCAAATGGGAAACACTTATAGATGTTAGTTGAAAAAGAAAAATATTTGTGAGTGATTTTAAAATGCTAGAGATAAATAAAGGCATGGAGGCCATATCTGCAAGATCATCAAAATACGTCATGCCTCAACTATACTCGTACAAAACAGTATGCTCTTACAGCAATTTGTGCGTCTGACGGATATCAGTTGGTATCGGAAACAAACAATTTGCTTATCTTATCGCCGTCGACAGGCGGTACAGTCTCGAACTAGCGCATCGGTGATGATGCGAATGTGGCGAGTCTCTCACGAGCAAGCGAGCAGATACGCGTGGACGCTCAAATGAGGAGACGACTGTACGTGTCTCTCATCTCGTTGTGCCCCCTCTGTCTCGTTTCCGCCGCCGTCGCCACCACCACCACTCGTACTCGGCCGCGCGTTCCTGTTATCTCGCTTCGACTTCTCTCGCTCCCCCGCCGCTTCGTCCCCTCCCCCGCATGCCGTGCCAACCAACGAGTCGGAGCCGCTTTCGCTTTGTGCGCGCCGGGGCGGCGGTACATCAAAGCCTTCTAGTTCCCGCTCCGGCCTTTGACGGTCGCGTCGCGGCCGCTCGCTCAGTCATCGCTCGGTTGTAGGCGATGTCGGCGCGGCGCGCTGTAGATGAGCGGATCGCGCGCGCGCGCGCGCGCGCTCTCGCACGATGAGCGCGGGCTCTCAGAGGTCAGCCGCGAGTTCGCCGTTCACCACGTCCGTCGGGTGATCCGGATACGCGGTACAACGGCGAGTCAGCGGTTTTCGTTTCGACGCTCACAAAACGCGTATGTATTCGTGTGACTTCGTGGCGACCGCGAATGCGTTTGGATCGTGCGATGCCGTCTCGCGGCGGCAAGTACGCGCGTGTCAGCAAAGTGGCCACCAAGGGGCGCCAAGTGCGCGCTCAGCAGCACGTCTCTTTGGATTTTGTAGAAACCGAGGGAACAAGTATGGCAATGGCGACGTCGACAACGACGTTGACAGAGATGACGACAACGACGACGATGACAACGGCAATATTTACGGCGACAACGTCGACGGTGACGTCAAGCGGAATGGTAGTCGCGACAACGAGAATGGACAAGCCCGCGGTAACAACGGCGTGCAATGAGGGTCGATCGCAGTGGACTGGGCGCATGCGCCAGTCCCTGGAGAGCAGCTCCGAGCCAGCCCGTGAAAACTGTACCCCCTCGGTGCATCGTTATCCGGAAAGGCAACGACGACGGGAGAGACACGCCGCGGGGAGGAAGCATCGACCACCAGGGAGAGATACCGAGAAAGCCATCGCCGGCACCTCATGCTCCTCGACATCGTCGCCGCCGGCACTTTCCTCGCCGTCTTCTTGCGCGTCCTCGCGCCGTTCGAGCTCCCCACTGTCAAGCACCTCGTCACCAGCGCGCTCCTCCACCTCGTCGTCGGTCACGAGCGATCCGCTAACGATCAAGCCTGCGATCAGAAACGAGCAAAGAAGCACTCCCGATCATAGCGACGACGGGATTGGGAAGCGGAGACAAAACGTTGGAGAGACAAGACGAGACAACGGTGAGACGACTCATGGAACGACTACGGAGACGACGACGTCGGTGTCGACCTTCTCTTCAATCACTGTGTCTTCCTCGTCGCCATTTCCCTCCCCCGTGTCCACGTCCTCGACATCTTGCCGGACGGCGACGACGCCGCGCAGCCACGGTGGCGATCATGGTGTTGCGCACGTCTCGTCCTCTTCGTCCGCGCTTGAAAGACTGAGAAGTGCCCTGGAGAATTACGACCGTAGTCGAATCTACCTCGCCCACGTTTGCTACTTGGATTGGCGGGATCTGCCGGGTAAACGGCGTGGCGGCACCGTCGGAGGTCACGACGCGACGCGGAGCAGCGAACGGGTGTGGGTGGTGGGGGCGGCGGATCACGAGGGCCATCATCGGACACGATTGTTGGTGGCCGGCCGTCACTGGCGACCACGTTGTCTACGCAAGGTCAACATGTTGAGTCAACCAGTGGTGTATGCTGGCGGTGGCAGGGGTTCCTTAACTTCCGATCTATTCCTATGGTGGTTCCATCGTGAATTTGCTGTTACGGCGATGGCGATGCATCCTGACGGAGCCGTGCTGGTAGCGGAAAGTGCCGATTACTTGCCACCAGAAGGTGACTGCGTCGCCGCGGACGGTCTTGTACGGCTGTTTATTGTACCCAAGGATTGCATGGAAACGCGACTGGTGGTCCGAGAATTAAGAGTGCGTCTGGCTACAGGTATATTATCGAGAGCACGCTGTGGCGTTTACTGCGATAAATATCCCTCAATTTTGGGTTTGCCCGAGGAAGAGGGCGATAATCGATTGGACGCATATCTAAAAAAATTTACACTAAAGGAAGCATTCGCGGATCTTCATCGCGCATGGCTCAGTGTTCGATCGGAGACATTCGCTCGCAGCTGGACGCTGCCACGCGATCGCGAGGATCATTCGCTGGCGGGATGTAATGGCGCCATATTGCCGCCTAGAATCCATCCGGTGGATCAAGAGGAGGATAGAATGCTACTTGTCGAACTGCAGAGTCTCGCCAGGGAGATCGGACTGGAGGTCACCGATGACGAATTCGGCAGTTGGATCCTTGACGAAGAGAGTGCGCTGGCGCGTCTTGTTAAAAAAAAAGAACCAGACGAGGAACAACAATGCCGAGTTAAAATCGAGGTAGAGACGGATAGATGGTCGGAGCGCAATGGAGACGAGGAAGAAGATGGGAATGACGGCATTGAAGAAGATGACGGCGAGGATGAGCCTACCGCCGAGGAGGCTGTTGGACTTCTCTCAAGAGTGCTGCTCTGGATGGAAAGAGAACCTCTCGATCCGGGACTTCTACTGGCGGTCAGATCGATGCGTGATACTGCCGCACTTATGGTAAGCACCGCGGCTGATAAGAGACAACCTCTTGAGAGCCTTTATATCGATCGCCCGCGAAAAAGAGAAAAGGATGAAAGAGAATGAAAAGAGACGGCAAAGAGCAGGAAATCGTGCGCGATCTTGCGAATTTACAAGCAGATTGAGCCAATTTTATCGACTGTCACTTGACAAAAAGCGACCAGAGGGTAAGGGAGATTGAACAAGTGGTAGGTGGGTTATGCTACTGTCCTCAAGAAGGGCACTCGATTTTGATGATACGTCGCCGATGTTTCGTCGAAGCGAACGGACGGAAAGATTAAACGAACCCTCGAGAAGTACATTCCTCCCTTCGCAATCCCGTACACGATCTTTGCAAATTAACGCTCAAGCTGTTCCTCGATAAGCACTCTTTGATAAGCTCCCTTTTGGAGCGAATCGAATTGGATATCGTGTTTCTTTCCTACGAGAGTGAACTGTAAATCCTTAGCGGTGTATCCTTGCATCTTTTACGTTATTGACGTTATCGCCTGAACGCACTCTTGCGATTCCCATTCAAACGTATGTACACTGTATCACGCATGCGTGATGAAACAAGTACCGTAATCATATAAAGATAAGACAATTTGTATTCGGCATTATGATAAGAGCTAATGATCGCAGCAACACCTGGATCTTATTATTTTATTTATATTCACACACGCGCGCGCGCGCGCACACACACACACAACTGTGGACGTAATGTTTTATTAACATAATAAACATCAAGAAATCAAAGATTTTAGATAACTTGTTTTAATTTTTACATTTTATGCTGATTCTACAATTAAACGGTAATCTGTAATCTTAGAAACTGAATGCTGACCAACTTTACTGATTCATCGACTTCGACCAATCATGATTTCTTCAATTATTCTTTAGACTCGCTTCTGACTCACCGATTACAGACTATTGACTCATTATAGAATCGGCATGTAATGTAATATCGATATTTAATCTACACTTTTGTATTGAAGTATATATTGCAGCTCTAAATATCTTTTTTTTTGATGTGATTGATGAGCGAAATTATAGATTAGTACTAGATTAGTATAGAGAAGAGCATATCAGTCCTTATATGTCTAAACCTAGTCAAA